GCACTTCCTCGCCCGGCCGCTCGCCCCGGGTGGAGGTCGTCGGCGCAGAGGAAGTGCGCGGTGACCTTGGCCCGTTTCCCCCGCTCCACCCGTCCGTCCGTCCGCCGCTCGCCCGCCCGCGCGTCGTGCCCAAGGCCTGTCGGTGGCGCGGCCTAGGGTACGACGGCCCGCCTTGCCCCGCCCGCCGCACGCCATGGGGAACGCCAGTAAATAGTCCCGCGCTTCTTATTTGTGTTCTTTTAACTGTAGCGAAGGACCTCTCCAAAGCATGGCCTCCTTTGCTATCCTTCGGTTGGACACGTACATTGTGTCCAACGTGACTAGGCAATGGTACGAAGTTTTCTCCTCTTTTCTCCAATGAAATTGATATTGTAGAGGGTTTGTTGTTTTTTCGACTTAGATGTGAGTACTTGGGTGTGCCAATTGGCATTACGAGGATGCGTCAGTATTTGAGAAAGGGAAATACTTTTAGGTGTGTTTTTTGTGAGCCCTGTACGTTATTTACGGAAGATGTAGAGTTAAGGATTATGAAAATGAATAAGCTACCACAAACACCCATGCTCAACATGGGTTCGGAATCTCGAATATTTGCACATTGAAATTAGGACTCTTCTCTCTTACAATTAGCAATCTTGTCTACGGAGATGCATTGCCTTTATTCTTAAAGATGTTTCCTAAAACTTTGCGTCCATTAGATCACGTTCATTTGTTAAAATAAAAATAAATAACAGAAACATAATTTATCACTACTTTAAAATTGGGTACAATAATTTACAATACACCAGACTAGACAGTGTATCTGAACCCAAAATGGAAGGTTCTCCGAAAATATGATTTTAGAAGGAAAAGAGAAGAAAGAGTAAGCAATGTAATTTTATAATTAATTAAATATATTTAATTTATTGAATCTGATTTCTATGTATGGTAGTATTTCATTCTGCCGTGTTCACTTGTGTTTGGCAGTTCCCCTTCGACTGGCGCAAGAATGTCTTTTGCGTTACTTTAGGATACAAAGGTATCGTAGTAGGTAATAACATGTGTGCTTTGGAATCGCAGATAAATCTCCGACCGCGAAGCGAGGAGGGGATTTATCTGAGAGTTTCCAAAGACGGCCTCCTCCAATAGGACTATTCCACTCGTGAAATTAAAACCAATAGTGTTTAACTATACATACATCGCCATGCTTGGGGCATTTCGTATCTCAAAAAGTTTATCGATTTTTCTATCCGATTTTTCTTAGCGCTTCTACCTACTGGTCTTACATAAACTGTGACTCATCTATCTTACGGTGTACATCGATCGCTATGACAATGGCCAATAAACAGCGTATGTACTACAACATAACGTCTGTTTTTAACATACGCTTTTAGTTATTTAGAATATTTGGCCCATTTTGGAACTCTGTTGCACGTAATTTCACGCGTGGAATAGTCCTATTAAATACCACTCGTGCTTTGGAAATTCTCAGATAAATCCCCTCGTTTCGCAAGCACTCGTGGTACGAGTATTACCTAGGACTATGAGAGTGAAGCTAACTGAAAGAGTGTTAAAATAATAGTAGTTTATGCAATTAGTTTATAATGTTAAGCTTTATTGCATGAGTACATGTTTTGTACAAATTTGTACGAATGCAATAAAGCAACATTATAAACGAGTTTCATACTATATTTTTTGTATAACAGCATTATACATTTATAAGAGAATCAAACTTAATTTTGAGAAACAACTTCCGTGTGACGACTCAGGTATTTGACATCCTGCGAGTGGTGGTCGGCTGTTCCGTTTAGCTCTACCTCCCCCCGATTCTCTCGCTATGAGTGATGATGCAATCATTCGTGACATAAAATCTAAAACGTCATCATTTGTGTCGTAAAACGGCCGATTATGAACGATTTTTAGGTACTTTTATATTGCTGGAATACAAAAAAAGAGGTTATGTTATAGTACGTACGCGGTTTATTGCGCAGCGATCGATACACTCCGCCTCCTAAGATAGATTAGTCGCAGCTTATTATTGGCCAGTAGGGAGGAGAGAAAAAGCGATATTTTTTTAGATACACCTCCCTAGTTGGGGCATTTTGTATGTATAGTTAAGCACTATTGGTTTTAATTTCACGTGTGAAATAGTCTTCCTAATTCCCTTCTCTTCCTGTTACATAGGTCGAGATGGAATCCGGCTGTTTCTTAGGGAAGCCAAAAACGAAAGGGTACTAATGGGGGACGAGTGAGAGGAAAGGATGACTGCGGGATGCAGTCAGACGATTCAGTCACAGTGGCTTTCTTGGTAGGAGGCACCCTTCTCTATAGGAAAAGGCCCATTCGGCAGATGGAGGACCTCCGTATCTGGAATAGTTCGGTTGCATCCCACGGTCAGCAAGCCTCATCCAATTCACTTGTAGCCTCCCCAGAAGGAATTGCCCATTGCATCCAGACAGTAACGGCTCTACCATTAAGTCACGTGGTCACGTGTCCTGCGACTTGTGAACTATGAATCGTGGACTGAAATGCGTGGCATGTTATCGAGTAATACTTCTAGAGAATTTACGTTAAGGTATTCTTGGGCGATATCGATACTACTTCACAGCGCTGACAACGAGGTAGTTGTGGCAACAGGGCGACGTTCTTAAGCTTGTTGCGACCACCTCCCTGCCGTTCAGCAAAGCTTTCCCTCATAGCGAGAGAGAAAAAACGGAGGGGTTAATGCTCCCTTTAGGCCCTTCAGGATCACAAGCTTTTTGTGACTGCCAATGCAAGCGCTACTTTACAGATGTTCAAACAACGTTCGTAGTTCTGAGAAATAAAATGCTGATCAGCTCAGGGCGCTCGTAACCTTGATACTATCCGCAGCTGCGAATTCTGTGTGAATCAGTTTTTCTTGGCGTGTGCGTTTGTTGTTTCCTCGTGGATTGTTTTCTCTTCTCATTCAGCGGATATTTAATACGTGAGAAATCAGCGAGGAGTTAGTGATTTCTAGTTTAATGCGCTAAATCGTGTAAATTTTATATATAATGTGTGTGTGTTCCTTACATTTTCAGTGTATTCATGTTTTGAAGATAATTATCACCGAAAATGAACATTGTTTTTCCACTCTACAGAGAATAAAAAAGATTCTTAGAAACGCACTGGGTACAGACAGGTTGATTGGCTTAACCAAGTTTTCTATTGAAAAGGGATTATTCATGGTATTCGGAATTTTAGTTGTGATGTTATTGAGGCGTTTCCCAAAGCCAAGGAGAGGAGGATTGAATTGAAGTTTAATAATTATTACAGGTATGCTTTGCATATGGCATTATATTTCTCGCGGGTTTCTGTGTCATACCTGTTCTATAGTTAAGGAGCCGCCACTGCATCCTGTCCAGTGGAAGGAGAAAATGATGTAGTGAAGGCTGCGTTTAGTAAGATCAATGCCAATAAATGATATTGTACCAATCGAGAACTATGAAACACGTGTGAACAAACGAGAGTCTTCAGAACTGAGTGTGAAAGAGGTAAGAAATTAGTGGCCAACGGAGGTTATAAGTTTTGTTTTCACACACTTTGAAGCAAAGAGTTTCGCCGTTGGTAACGCTCTAAAAGGCGATGTTCCAAACACTGATGCGTGGGCGAGCTCTTTCTTTAGATACCCACTGACGAGGAAGAGCCCAAAACGGGATGCAATCGGGCTGAGCCCTTTCGCAGAGGAGACAAGCATAGGGAATGTTGACCGCGGGAAGCAATCGATACACGCCCTGCGGCTGGCTGTGGAGCCTGCAGCGGGAGCTTCCCTGTTTTGTCTCTCGTCAGTACTGCTTGGCGCTTATCGGAACAGATACGTACGACAACATACGACCGTGGCAAATTTTGACAATAGTGTATTTTTTCGATTTGCCCCTGTCGTTTAGTTTAAGTAAATGTTAAAAAATGACGGGATTGAAATGTCGACATCGATGAAAAATATCAACCTCTGCCACCAAGCATGGCTTCAGCGGCTTATACCGAAAAATCTATTGACGGCAAAAAATCAGTCTGTCTGGAAGTACGTAGTGCGTGGTCAACACTAGCACGTAAACCGTTCAGACGATTTTTTCCAAAATTGATATCCCCATACCGCTCTGACGAGCTCGATGCCCATTTTGCGACGGATATTTTGATTTCGGTAGCTACTTTACATGAAACCAACATTTTCAATTTTTTCCAAAACATTGTTCCAAGTTTGTTGATTAAACTTCGTCTTCGGAGAGCGTAGATAACGCTTAAAATGGCACAGGTCTATTTTTCCCTGAAAGCTCTGAATTTCCGATAATTGAAACTGTTCAATGACTTCCGACAGAATTGAAAAGGTTTTGGCGCTTCCTACTACTATAATATTGAAGATAGTTATTCATTCCTGAGTAAAATTGCTGCTCAAGGATAGAGCTTGGAATAAGGTCAAGTAAATTTTTCAAAAATACTAGTCGTTTGTGCATGAAGTGTAGGCATTTTTTAAACAATGATTTCCTCAAAAATGACTTATATCCATGATAAACGTATCAATTATTGTGCATGAGGTGATCTATTTGAATAATATGTAAACTATTGCCTGTTTTCACGAAAAAATATTTACATAAATAAGTTCCAAAACATACTCTAAGAACTTGGCATGGGTTTATCACTCTTAATCGCTCTGAAAATGTGTATATCTCATTTTTTACTTCCTCTCACTTGCGTCGTAAGAAGAGAAAGTATTGTAATCGTGCGTAGAAATCGGAGAATTGTCAACCAAAAACTCTTATTGCCAGGACTTGGTAACGAGAAAGTGGATAAATATTTTTTTTATTTTTTAATTCAGTGAGAGAGCAGATGAAGAAAAATCCAACTTTATTAAAATAACGACCGCCCTAATGTGCTCTGCCATGGAAACTGTAAAAAACAAATCACGAATCAACAACATTGTCAGCGTTGTTTCCCATTTATATAACGTATAGCTTAATGTCAGTTTCTCTCCAATGGCATATGGAACTGTTGGTGCCTGGGCTTCATACTCGCATACTTCCCGTGGAGAGTGAGTCTTCAGAGGTCGTCTGAAGTAATTAAATCATTATAAATTTTAAAAATATATTTAAGTAAGATACACGGTCCTTTAAAACACGTTTCCTATCGGAACATATGTAGGTCCAAGGAGATCTTGGACACGTGCTCCCATGGCCCGCTCCTTTGAAATCGCTCCCTGGGTCTGCCACCTTCCTACGCACATCACCTGTTTCACTGGATTCCCCTGCTTCGCCACATTTCCTGTTCTCCACGCCTCCCTGCCTCTGCCCGCACCTCTGCGCCCCACCTCCGCCGTCCTGAGAGCTCCCACGATGACAGTGCCGTGTTGCACAACAGGCTGACTGGGCGAAAACCTGCCGCGCGCAGGATTGGCGAAGCGCAGTTGTTGGAATAGTGCACCGTGGACTGCCGATTACTCTGTTTAATTTCAATTATCAGTATATCAATGACGCGCCTAAATGGATGGGGGGACTTCAGCCCCCTCCCCTAGAAACCGATTACTCAAATTCACAAATATATATATAATTTTTTCTAATTTTCTATAGTAAGGGAAGTCATTCAATATCTCGTTTGAATACGTTAAAAATAACTATAAATTAACTTATAAAATTAATTTTAAATAAATGAAAATTCTTTTTAAGAAAATATCAGGTTGATGCACAATATACCTAAATCCCTCTCTCTAGAAAAATCCTACTTGCGTCTTTGCAAATTAAAGCGAGTTTGCGTTTAATGGTCCATATTTTTGACAAATATGTCGATAAATTATAAACTGTTTATTCTCACTTTAAGAAAATAACAGAAACCGGGAAAATAATTATACAAACATTATTGTAAGATTCTCTGTCGCTTAAGAGTTTTGCGTATCAACTCTATGAAACAAATACCAGAGGCATTCATTTGTATCGGTTAGCAGTATTTCTTGTTCAGAAAAATTATTGTAGAGGAAAAAAATATCGATACTCCAAAATTTTTCCTGTGCATTAGGCGAAAAATTCGAAAATTTTGTCATGTCTGCATCTGGCAAGTATTGACTCATCATATACTTTTCTGGTTTGTACTGGCCCTCTATCTCAAACCGACACTCTACCTCAAGGTTAAAGACGTGTATTGTTTGTTCGGGTGCTTTTAGCCATTTTTATGTTTTCCCGCCGTCATTTCCTGTATTTATTTTCCTGCGTCTATTTTTTGGGTATTTTTATTTCTTTTGAAACATTAATGACTTTATTCATTATGCTTCTTGTATGTTTTCGACTTGAGCATTATATAACACCCTACTAATGAAAACACCACCTTTCCTTTCATTGCATGATAACTAGCAGAACTAGTAAACAAAGAAATGGATTATTAGTATCATATTTATTTATTTTATTTATTTATTAGTATGATTCTTTGACCTATCATTTAAATGTCACTTTATCTTTACTACGTACTTACGTAGTAAAGATAGTGATGTAATATTGCAGCAGAAAGTGAAGATTTTCCGTCAGAAAAAAAATGTATGCGGTGGTCTTGATATCGAAAAAGTAGATAAATCATGTTACTATGTAGTAAATTACTTCCTCTAACAGTTTGTGTAGTCAGAATCCAAGTTTTGTGGTTCATTGTTACTGAAAAATTGTTTTTCCACAAGATGTCTGTTTGCTATCCTTCGGTCCATGACTTGTCAACACTGTCGCCTAAACCGTTCAGATGATTTTCTCCAAAACGGATAATCCCCGATCGATGTGGCCGAGATCGAGGCCACGCTAATATGAAACTGATTTTTGATACTTTAGAAGCCTTAACACATTCGAAATTATCTTAAAATGTCTTCAAATTCTTTGTTTAAATTTTGAACAATGACGCTTATAAATGGCGTAAGTTTCATTTTCATAAAACTCTTTGAATTTTTAAAATTTTAAAAACGTCAATTTTTTTCTGCCTCGTCCGTCAACTACAATTTTGAAGATGGATATTTTTTTCTATTAATGATATAATCCTATTAATGAACTTTCAAGAGAATTACTCCTGACAGTTTCGTGATTAAAGTGATCGCACCTAATAATTCTATTAAAATTCTGATAATTCGATTAAAGTATTTTGAAACACCTTTGATTTTTTTCTAAATCACAGATATTATCGAACATTTGAAGTCCTGTATCATACCATTATTTTAGAGAGGTTATCTATAGTCCTACTTCAGTTACAATAATAGGATAATATCTATATTATACGTGAGAGCGTAGGCTTTCGCGGCCGGAGTCAGTATTTACTAGGCTGTCCGGGTAAATACTATATTATACGTGTTGCGTATTGCATAGAATCTAGTTGTACATCAGAGTGAACATTATTTTGCCATTTTTTCTGTATTATCAATCGTTAATTTAAAATGTAAACAAAGCACGAGATAGACATTGTAAGAGCGATTAAACAATATTCTTATCTAACATGTATTCTAAATATATTTTCAGATCGAATTGTGCAGTGAAACGAGTTAATATTGTCTATGCGATCTGTAAAGTTGTATCGTGCATTCCTTTTGGCAGTTTATATGCAGGGGCGGATTATGCATATGTCGACTAAGCACGTGATTAGGGTCCCTGCGAGGAAGGGGATCCAAATATTTGTTTTAAGTAAAATTTATTTGTTCGTAAATTTGCGGAAATATTCGATTTTTTTTAAATTGCAAGTGTTATGTTCTTTTACATTATTTTGTTTGCGTATGTTTAGTTCATTTATATCAATAGCAGGCCTTATTGATATCAAAGTATTGTCGTGGTTTGCTTAGGTCCCTCGTAAGGTATTTAGCTGGGTGAATATGTAATGAGGGGAATGAGGGGGAGGGATGGCGAAAATAAAAACACTGTGCAACATCCTCACCCGCGGAATGGCGCCTGGGACCGCGTGTTTGCGGTGCTACGGACGCACGTGTGCCAAACGCGCTGCTTGGCGCGAACTCGAGCCAGAGCCGAGCGTAGCGGAGCGGCGTGGAGCAGAGCGGGCGGCTGTCGGGGCGGGGGCCGGGCCGGGGCGAGGGCCTTGGC